TTGAAGCTTTGAGGCAAGTGCTTTATATTCAGGAAAGGGCACTTGTTACATAGAGTGATGATCGAAGTCCTCAGCATCATATCCTGATTATTTAGAAAAATATTGTTAAGTGGTTAAGCCCCAGCAAGAGATTTTTGCAACCACAATAGCGTGGGAGTAGGTTCGTTCCCATCATAAATCAGGTTTATAAGTTACAGGTATTTATCAGTTATAATTATATTTTAACACGAGGGTCCCTAAAGAGATGGTTATCTGCACTATTTCTGAAAATGTAAAACCTGGTCGCAAGTGTTCATGTTGAAGATTACTACAGTTTCCAGAAATGTACCTTGGCGTTAGCATCAGTCGATTTCCGATTTCCGTAATTCGTAAATTTTGACAGTGCTACTTTATCTGAGATAATTTAGAGAGCATAAACAAGAGATGAATAGTAATCGCTCTGATTTTTCCCCTTACGAACAAACTCGAAATGTTTATACTTCAAGATATTTTACTATACATGTTTAGGAAAATCTATGCATTTAAAATTAGACGGCTTTGCCGCAGATAAAAATAAATAAAATGCAGTTTTAAATTTAAACCGAATTCGCCTTCAGTTAGGTTCTAACTACCCTTGGATGTAGCGGATTGCGATCGCTACACTCGTAGTGGTTCTTGTAAAGAACTAAAGGTTGTGATCTAACTTACGCTTCCTCAAGCGCAAAGCTACGGCAGCCCCGCTGCAGTCAGCACTGTTGATAAAGCAATATCGGCATCCATTTGTTCCATTTGGTGTATGCATTCGGCACACACCGCAAGTAACATCCAAATTGACATCATGCAAACAACGGGGCAATAAGTCTCGACTGGGAATAAGTCTCGAGAAAAATCGATCTTATAATTTTTTTGTAACCCTTCGAGACAAGTCGTGCCATATACCGTACAACAGTGTCATTTGATCACGCTTCTTAGTAAAGACCCATTGTAATCCAATTGTGCAATTGGTATTCATTCTTGGTTTTGCTCATGGAAGCGAGGCACAGCTTCAATAACTTCACACCACTTCGCTGCATCATCGCTTGCCGTTGTTTGATCATATGAAGCTGGCAAGCCCGTGTCATCCTCACTTATCACCATGTAAGCAAGAACAGCATTGGCAATAAGGTCAATTTCGTATATCCTAGCACGTTTCGGAGTCGGTGGGCCATCAGGTCTATTCATCACCTGAGTCGTTTCATAACATGAGCATCAGGTCGCGTCTTTGTCTTGTTTGTTCCACTTCAGGCCGAAACACCAAACAATATTCTTGATGTGTTTAAAGGGATATACAACGCTTCGCTACCTCTAACCTGTCATCATCAAAACGCTCGGAAGGCATTAGCTGTTATATGCTGACACTTGGTGTACACTTACTATCTATCGTCCACTTCGACATCAATGATTGATTTCTGACAGTTTCCGAAAAAAACCGAATTGACTGTTGATTCAGTTGGTTTTGAGCAAACCATCATCACTGTCCTTTGTCACTCCGACGGTGTAACTCCGACGGTCAAGTATAACTGTAGTGCATGCGTGTCATGAATACCGCCGACTTCACATTCATCCATCCTCCAAAAGCGGGTCACTTCAACTTGGGCATTTTTCGAGTCAACACGCCATAACCCTTGACATTTTTCGCATCACCGAGACACATACATCTAAAACCTTTGGGCTCGAGCTTTATTCTCTTTGCATTGTCAGCATGAGCATAACCCTGGGATTCGAACACGCGTTTGTGATCCGCCCGAAGCTTCATCTTGAAAGCTAAATCATACGGCGAGATGTCGGGATGAGCTTCGTCAAGTAAAAATTCATATAAACTGCTGTGTTAACTGCTTTCGCCCATCATTCAGATTGAACGAATTTGTATCAAGCATACGGCGGGCAATTTTCATGATAGTCTTGTTCAGCCACCCTATTTGCAAAGGGCTATTATGGGACGCAATGTTGGTGGACAGACGCCGCTCTGACGACATACGTCTACCATCGTTTTGTTAACGAATTTTGAAGTCGGATCTCAAGACTTTGAGACGAAGATACTGTCGATTTTTGTAAGAGTCCCAAAAACTTTGAACTCGCCAGATACTTCATTCTGGCTCTTGATTGAGGAGTTTGCGACAAATCTTGAAAAATCATTCACAAAAGTGAGGACAAATTTTCGAACCTGTCTCCGATAGAATCCGCATCGGACACATTATACCCATGTGAATGCGCCTCAGAACACGTGTCGTCTTTCTCATCAAACGCAAGCAATATGCCGTGGCTCTATATATCCTTCAAAACCCCGGCACAAAATGTTTCTGTCTCTTGCTTGATCCATGATATGCCTTTTTCCTAACGCTGCGTCTTGAGGGAAGCATTTTTATCTGGGTGTACCATGCGAACATGCAAAAGCTCCCACTGAATGTCAGCCGTGGGATACTACACGTAACTTGCGAGTTCCACTTACAGTCGGGCATGTACGCCTTAACGATTCTTAAACCAGATGCAATCGCCTATTCTCTCTTCCAGATGACATACGAAGAGCGCAAACACCACACTCATACTATTTTTTGCATGCTTGCCAACCGACAACAATCTTCTCTCAAGTCCTAGGATATATAGAGCTTTAACCATGCAGATCCCCTTTCCACCCTAACCGGTCAATTTTCACCGTGGCGGTTCTTCTGACGAGTAGTTTTATACCAGCTACAATTTTTACCTAGATGGTTATCTCAAGGTCTTTGTATTTGGACAAATATTTCCCGTGCGGGGCCATGTGGGGTGCGGCACCACTGTCCATCAGTCAACCTGCCTATCGTCCTCCCGCTGCAAATACCACATCATTACTGCTGGAACGTCTTCCAACGGGACAGTCCCACTCTATACAAACAATCCGGTCTCAATTTAAATATATGCACTGAAATCTACCGTCTTGCGTAGAGCATCACCTTTTCGAATATCTCCTCGTCTACCTAAAACGTTTTCAGGAAACGCTTTCTCCGTAGGCTTCTTTTTCTGCAGCTTCTAATCTCTCATGTAGCTTTCTTTGACTTTAATCGACGCGATGTGCTTTGTATTTGATCGATGAGATCAAATTATATTCGATGCTAGACTGCTGATGAAATACCACCTGCCGGCGCGACCTGTGTGTTGGTTCTTTCTTAGGCTGGGGACCCACAGCTGGTTCGCCAAAAGAGTCTTAATGTTTTGCATGTGAGTACTAGCTTTTATCTTGAAGTCGTGACTCGTCGATTTGTCACAAGATCTTGCAGTGTCGAGCGATTGTAAAATCACGTAGTGTTCTCCACAGCACTCGTGGTCGACCTAATTTTGATCTGATGTTGCATTTCAGCGCCTTGTGCAATGATACAAGATTTCTTGGCGTTGTTCATTAGCCACATCTCGGTTGTAAAGCTCCCATCCTTGACGGCCATGACATTACCCACACTACGCTTTCTCACCGAGTCTTCCTCATATTAAAGAGCCAGTGGTAGTATCTACCGCTCCTCATCGTGTGATGGACGTTGTAGTGAAGAAATGCTTGATGTGGCCGTGAGCCAGTTGACTTGAAGAAAAATTTCGGAAAAATGATTATGTTCCTGTGCCTGATTCATATTGATACAATCATATCTTTACAAAATTACTCAGTCGTAATAATTCACGATCTGGTCAGAACAGCTCTCATATTCAATAGCCCGCACCTTGAGCTAGACCGCCTAGTGCGGACTCATCCGAAGGTTGCTGACGTAGCGTATTGCATTTCTCGTTTATCGTTTCCACATATTATTTTTTTGATAGTGTTGAGAGATGTCTGCAAGCTGTGACGCCGCTCAGAAGAAGGGAGGAGGGAGGGACAGCAATTTTGCAAAACCCAAAGCCTCGAAATCATCGAGAAGGTGGAATTGACAAAACCATTCGTGGTAGTTTTGGCTGCAGATGAAGAAAATAGATTCCGGGGATAAACATGAAAGCTACAATGGTAACAATAACTTTTGGAATAAGACAGCAGCAGCGGGGCTGCCGTAGCTCCTTTGCTTAAAGGAAGCTTAGTTAAGGTCGGTGGTCATCGTTCTATAACTTGAACCAGTACGAGTCTAGCGGATCGTGTTTCACTTAATCCAAGAGTAATTACGACCTTAACCAAAGGCTACTGAACGCTTCCGTTTAATGTAAACTGTATTTTGCGTACTGTTTTGGTGGAAAAGCCACCTATATTTTTTAGGTTTTTCTTATTGTATAGTAAAATTAAATTAAACTTATAACTACTGGCAGTCTAGCCGCCGTACTGACTTCCTGTTTAAGCGTGTCCCACACCATTGTGTTGTCACACCGTATTGTGTATCCCACACCATTTTGTGATTGAACCATCTTGTGTGAGCCACACCCTTCTGACCAGGGAACGGGAAACCTCCCTCATCAAGATTCTGAACATCTGAGTTCAAATTCAACTGTCTCCTCGAACGAGGCTCGCATGTTGAAGACACTGCAACATCACCAGGACCTTCTTCACAATTTCCCTGCTCAACAGCCCTGTGTCGAAGACACGTAAGAGACTCAATATA